TCCCCCCCCCCCCCCCCCCCCCCCTCCATGTGGAAACGACGCCTACAGTTGTCTAAGAAGACCCCCTCACTGGAGCAGATCCGGGTGATCTTGGAAGCGTGCTTGTACAGGGGTAATGTGGAGGAGGCGGCCACGGACCGGGGACGGCTTGAGGCGTTAACCCTCGCAGAGCTGCAGGTGCGCACGGCATCCGTCTGCCGCAGCAATTTTCGGTCGAATTTGCTCGGGGCACCGGGACGTAGACAACGCTTGACTGAAAAACATAACTTGGCTTGGCAGATGGCAAGATGAACCCAGAAGAGAGGGCGGTCTGTTTCCTCCGCCGTGTGGCCAAGCCGTGCGGAAGGGGGATAGACCATGCGCGTGGGAGGTTTTGAGACAGAAAAGGGGGGGGTTGCCGATTCCTGGGATGGAAAATTTCGGCCAGCTTGGCTTGAGAGACACGCCCCTTCTCCCTTCCTGCTTCTGTGTGTGTGATCTCACCGCTCGGTAAAGCTTCCCATCGATCCATCCGAGAGTCTACCCCGGAAGATTCCGCGCGTACTGGGTATGTCTCACGATACAAGTTATCCGTTTGCGTCGTCTTGAAGAGGCGGTCGACCACGGTCTCATGGTAGACAATCATCCCCACCTCCCGGTCGGTCTCGCGAGGCACATGTTGGAGGATGGAACACCGCCGTAACCGTGCTCCTTTTTCTTGCTTTGTTGAGAGGGCTTTGTTTTTTTGTTGACGCGACGAGTTTCGCTATCAAGATGGGGACGTGTGTTCTGTCAGTGCGAGGTTTCGCCCAATGCTTACTCCAACCCGTGGTCACATAGAAGGGGTTCCCCCTACCCACCCCTAAGGCTCTATAGTTGGTCCCTGCTTTGTTGTACGGCCCTGGTTTCGCCGATGCCATGCTGGGCATCATTCACAACAAACCCTCGGGTAGAAGGCGGACGAAGTTCGTGTTCAGGATGACAAATTCGTGCTACTTGGTTTGGGAGCGGTAACTCTCGTTTTTTGGTGCAGTTCGACTTCCTCTCTTGAGGGTGTAGATTTGCTATGTGCCGCACGAAACGTTGGGTGTGGCATGGGATCCTGGGCGTTGGCCATGCCGAAAAATGTACTTACCTCCTACACGAAACCTTTTTTTTTTCCTTTTCCGTTTTACCTGTTCTTTTGTTTGGTCTCTCTCCACGTACACCGTGCAGACGAGAGTCCAGTTTAGCCGCCGGGAGCTGTTGCAGGGTCTCAAGGAGCTGGATGCCGTAGAAATCGATGGTAAGATGTACGCCAACAGCAACGACACCAGCTTGTGTGGTGGGTTGGGACGACTTGAGCAAAGCCCTTGCTTACCTGCCTTGGCAATGTCCAAACGTACCGGCGATGGTACGAATCGGTGTGGTTTCGGAAGAAGAGCGGATGATTTCCCCAAGACACCTCGAAACGCCCCAAACGCCTCCCATTGCTTGACGACGAAACCATCTTGTGCCAGCGGTTTCTTCCTCCCCCTCCCCTCCCCCCGCCACGGGCTCTTGTCCTTCGCATGGTGTACGTAGCCGTAGATTTTGATTGGTCCGTGGACCGTGAGTTGCGTCCGCTGCCTACCTACCTTGACCTATTCTTGTTACCCCCCCCTCTGTGGGAACAATGCTCCGTCCTCTCGAGGACGCGTGGTCAATGGTCTAACCGCTAAGACATGCAAAACATAAGAGTACCCCACCCCTCCCCCCCGCCCCTGTCGTTTCGGTTTTTGAATCTGTTTCAAAGCCCCACTCTCTCTCCACACACACACACACACGCACGCATCTAGACCCCTTTGCGACCGCCTCATCCCGTCTGCACTCTCACTCACCTCGCCGCCGACTGTGATAAAATGCGTAAAACCAGGGCGGTGGCGAATGGTGGACCCGGCCCTGATGGAGCGCACCGCGGACGCGCTTCTGGCGGCAGTGGTGGAGGAAGACATACCGCTCGACAAGGTCCGAGGAGTCGAGACAGAGACCGACAGAGGGAGAGAGTGGCGGAGGGGGCGGGGGGGGCGGGGGGGGGGAGCCAGATGGGGTCAATCATTTTGTCGAGTTGAAGGTCTTTTGCTTTTCTCCCTGGGTTTTGTTCTGTTATGTGTTCGAGGAAAACATACCGCTCGCCAGTGTCACATGTTGACCTTGTTTTTTCCTTCAAGGGAGGGACACGAGGGAGGTAGTGGCCTGGGCACTCTCGCTAGTGCTGTATTCTCCCAGCCTTGTCCGTTGAAAGTCAATTGTTTTTCTTCCTGTCTCAGGTCGACAGCAAGGCTTGCATAGCCGCCCTGCCGGACTGCGAGTCCCTGGTGCTGGAGCACTGCCTACGTACGTATTCCCTGCCCTCCGACAACGTTGAAGAGCAAAACGGAGCTCCCAGCGAGGTACGGAGAGGCGGTCGTGGTGACGCATCTCTTAAACTTCTTTCGTGTTTTGCCTGTTCAAAGAAAGTCAAGGTTCACCTTTGCAGTGTACGTGCATACTGGAATCGGGGCGGCTTTCCCGTCTAGCTGGGCCACGGTTCAGGTTCCCGACTGTCGGCAGATGAGTCAGCCGGATTAATGCGCCCCGCGCGGCTTCCGCCTTGCAGCCATGTTGACAAAGCGCTCCGCGTTCACTGTCCCCCGCCTGTCTGTTTGCGCTCTTTCTTGCCCCCTTTGCCGTCGCCCTCATCCGAATCGCTCCCTCCGTTCCCTCCGCCCCCCCACCGTCACCGTGCCCCTCACAATTGTTTTGCCCCGGTTATTGTCCTCCGGCGTAGACGGCTCCCGCTGCTGCCGACAGCGTCGCCGACCAGACAGTTGCTCCTGCGTACTTCCGGCTGGATCTAGCCAAGGTGGCGCGCCTTCGAGCTCACCAGATCATGCGCGCGCACGAGGCGGAGATAAACGGCGGCGGCGGTGGCGGCAGCAGCAGCAGCAGCCTTCACGGCAGCGGCGGACCGATTTCACTGGGGGAGTTCATGGACCGGTGGGCGGCTAGCATGCCCGGGGTGGACACGCCTTCCCAAGATTTACTCAAGGTACTGCCTCCGACTGGGTCCGCACTTTCAGCCCAAACAGAAGCTCCCGGGGGTTTTTTGGCCGCAAGAAAGAAGAGAGCCAGGCCTGCAAAATATTACGGGAACACCCAATCCTTTCACTCCTCGTGTCTGAAAGACCGCTCACCATACGGCCTTTCGGGAGACTCTGAATTTGCACTCCCCCGTAACGCCTCCCCCCCCCCCGCGTGAGGTCAATGGTCTAACGACTACGGCATGCACGACTATGAGTACACCCCCCCGCGCGCATTGCTCTCTCGTGCACCCGGAATCCCATTTTCTTGGGGCGATTTCGTCGGGGGCAGGGCATCGCTCTGGTGGAGACGAGAGACGCCAAGAGCGAGGACAAGAACGCCTCGCTGGTGTCTTACGTCCCGGCATCCGGCCTGCCCTTCTCCCCGGCCGAGCGGCTGGCTGCGCTGTTCCGGATCAAGCCCAAGTGGCCCATGGCAGAGCTCGAGCCCTACATATCGTGAGACAAGTAGATAGATAGATGCACATCAGACAGCATGCTTTGTGGCAAATGGCTCGGTGGCTAGCACGTTATCTTAGCCCTGTCAACGACGGGACGAATGCGGGACAGCTGGAGCCCCTAGATGCTTGAGACAACCGACGACCTGTTTGGCGCGTGTGCGGTGTTTGGCACTGCCACAACGGTATGTAATGCGCACATGGATCTTTGACTTGCCCATCCACGACACGACCCCCGTCTCGCAGTGCCTTGCCGCCTCTTGTGTGGTTGGCGGAAACCCGATCTGTGCCTTCGCTTGCTTATTTCTTTGCCGCGGTGGCCGTGCGTGTCGCTGAGGGCCCTTTCACACCTCTCTCTACCCCCAATATTGTGTCCGCTGTGGGAAACACGCAGGGAGGCTGACAGGAAAGCCGGGTTCCTCCTCAAGAATACGCGTGCTAGCACCGATCCGGGTACCGGCCAGAAGCTGTTCAGCGCAAGATAGGTAGAACGATAAAACCTGCCGAGGAGATCAAATACATACCCGGTGCTCCTGAGGCGAATCGCTCGGTGACTGCTGTTCTTTGACCGATACTAGAAGAGCTTCGGCTGTGGAATCAGTCCGCGTAAGATATCAATGGGTGGCACATATAACACGCCGGTCTTTGTGAAGGTGTCGCGCCCCTCGTTGGGACGAAGGGCTTTCTTTCTTTCCGTACGGGCGGACTGCCGGGGAGGGGGTCGGGGTAGGCAGGGGGGAGGGGTACAGTAGATCATGAGGATGGCTCTCGTGTGCACTTGCTGAGATGTCGGTTGAGCTTGTCGGCGTGTCGACTATACCATATAGCGGAGGGCATGACATTTTTTGCGAGTAGCCCAGGTTGTGAGCGTGAAGATGCATATATATATATTCTGCGTTCCAGTTTCCTTTGGTGTTGATTGCTACGGACAGCTACCCATTTAGAAGACTGGAGCGTTGTGGTCTTTGCATCGCAGCATGTTTTTTTTTTTTTCTTAGTATGACACAACGAAACCATCTCTATCATAGAAAAGAGTCTGAGACAGATTAGCAATGGATTCATAGCGTCAGAAAGTACCTGTATGTCTACGATTTCCCAGACAGCATATAGTTTTTTCGATTGTTCTTCACCAACAACGAGTTGACGACACGCGGAGCAATTGGTGGCGTTTTATTACCTCGAGGTGAAGACTTGTCTTTACTGCTTCCCCGACGAGGGGCGGGAAGAGGGGGCTTCTGCTACTTGAAATGTATCGGCCACGTATTTTCAGGGGCATGTATGGAGCAAAGAAAAAGGTGAAGGGTACGGCACAAAATTGAAACGCGAGACCATTGATCGACAAGGAGATCCGGGCCCGGCAAAGGGTAGATAGTGGGCGTCGGGTTTGGGTACGCTCACGGCTACGGCCCCGGATCGGTTGAAGCAAGATGGACGGGAGGCATTATTTGAACCCCTTCGAGTCTTTATCTTTTTGCCCCTGGGGATGGTTTTGCTTAGAAAGGGCCACTGCTGCACAAGTTGGCACAAATGTGTTCGACTTTCCTCTCATGCTTCTTGTTCTTGCGCGGGTTCACTACGTATACTGTTAAGGCGTCCTACGTGTAGACCCCACGCTCATACTCTCAGGTCCCAGGGAGCCCTGTGCGGACCTCGGCATCTGCCTTCGGGGGCCCAAAAGCTCACCCCGGATGCATCGTCGGTAGTTGGTACCAATCTTATTCAGGGAAGCACCAAGTAGATTAGTAGTACTTCTTGTACACGTTTTGTTGGGCCTGCGCCTTGTTTTCGGCTGTACCCTTCAACGGGTGTTGTTGTTGTTGTTGTTGTTGTTGTGTACCAATAATCAATGGTGGTGGTGAGCTGGCCCGACACCCCGGGTGTCTACTGCGTTACAATTTTCACCGCCGCGCTACACACCATCGTGTACACCCCATCATCCGTTGATTATAGGGCACCTTCACCGCGTTTTTTCCGTGGTTTCCATGGGGAGCGAAAAAGAGGCAAAGCACACACGTACGTGCAAGAAGAAGAAGTAGGAAACAGTCGCGACAGCGAGAGATCGAGAGATGCAAGTTGAGAGATAGATGTGCGGGGCGGGGATAATTTCGGACCATCCCCGGGTGGAGGCGTGTTTTTTCGTGACGATCATCCACGTCCGTATCTCGTGCGTCCCCACCTGCTGTGCCTCCCTCTCTCGCTTCCAAACACACCGGGCACACGACTCTCTCTCGATATCTACCCCACGTCTCTTCGAAGCAGCCGAAGTTGTAGCATGAAGGTCGCTTACGCACTCGCCTCTGGGGCGGCATTGGTAGGGACTAGGTGAGTGCCCAAGTCGGGATCGCGAGAGCGCCGGCTGAGACGTAGTAGCAGCCGATACGTCAAGTACGTGTGCGATCATGCTGTCGTCTCCTTTTTTCCTTTTGGCTGAAAGGAAGAAGCAACCAAGCTAGTGACGTGCTTCGCGCGTAGCTGCGCTGCTGGTCCATTGAAAGGAAGTGGGGTGCGGCCGAAGCTCATTGGGTGGACTTCGGTGCTCGGTGCCCTCGTTCAGACGGAGAAGCCTGGGGATGGGTTTTACGCTGGAAAACACATAAACAGCTGGCCAGTCCGCTCTTGACATGCGGGTGGGCCGCATGTGTTGTATGTAGCCCCCACCCCATGCGTGTACTTGTACAAGCATCGACACACACAGGATCCTTTTGACGCGAGAGAGATGACAACACCAAACCTCGAATCAACCCTCTTTGTCTTCTCCTTGCACGCCCCACAGCGATGCGTTCGTTGCTCCGGCAGCCGTGAGGTCACCGTTGCAGCAGCAGCGAACGTCGTCGCGACCTAACGTGGTCATGGCGGCCACGGCGGAAAAGCCCGCGACCTCGAAGGAGGCCCAGGCGGTGCCCGGTGGCGTGATGACGCTGTCCAGGTACATGCTCGACCAGGCCAGGATTAACACGGACTACCAGGTGTGTTGCTGGGTGGTGGTGGTGGCGGTGGTGGTCAACTCGTTGTTGTTTTGGGGTGCATTTGGGTGGAGTGCGATACGGAGCGTGTGTGTGTGTTTTGCGGTCGCATCCAGAGCTCAGTCGTTTTCCCGATTGACATGTTTCGCAAGGTCTGCTGCAGACAACGATGGCGTACATACCCACCACCGCCATGGCTGACGACAGCAGTTCTTTCTCCCGTCATCAGACTATGCTGTGATGGCCAGAGAAACATAACGCTGTCGTTCTGCAGCGGTGCACAGAGCACGTGCTGCTGGGACTTTCGCAACGTCGCTACTGCTGAACTACACTTGCCCGTTGTTGGCACGACGAATGATACGTACACTCCAGCACAGCAGCTGGTAGGAATGTGCCTCTCTTCGTTGAATCTTCTATTTTTGTGTTTGAAGTGAACGTGCTCCTCCCTCTGACGTTGGGCAACGTCCGTTTCGACCTATGACGACGACTTGCGGCTGCTGTGCTGTTACTAGTCTCAGCTGAAACACTTTTTAGCGCAATGTCCAAATCGCAGCCACTTCCAAATGGTGCAACCCTACAGCAGTCCTCGTAGCGTCCGGCGCACATGTTGGTACAGCAGACGTTACTGCTATTTTAGCCATGTGCTTACGTACACCTGCGTACACGAGAGAGTCTTGTGCAACCCGTTCCCACACAAGATAGGCAGCGTGAACTTGGAGAAACTTGCCTCCTGCACGCTACTGCTGCGTGAGAGCAGGCCGCTTTGCCTACGATTTCCATGAGTACATACCAAGCTATTGCCCATCAAGAGAGTACAAGGGAAAGACTCCCCGCTTAAACGGTAGCGAGCCCGAGGGCCTTTTGCGACGGGGACAATTTTATTTTTGAGGTTTCGGTGGCTGTTGGGTGGTGCGCGGGTGTATTTCAGAACTTTGCGCTAGACCGCTTGCAACAACTGGTGGAAATACGCGTGCAGGGATCCACACCTTTTTCTTTCTTTCGAGCACGGCAAGCCTGTACGTTCTTGCTGTCCTCTTCTTCTCCCCCTGGTACTACAAACCGCTTGTAGTGTGGTACCTTGCACACCAACACTGGGTACAAGAGAGCTTTGACCGATACCTGTTCCACAATACACGGCTTGCCAGATGCCGTTGACGGGCAGAAGCAGTGGTTCGTGGCTCTCCTTGTCAGCTCTTTGCCCAAGCCAGCAGATACAGCGGTTGCTTATTTTCAGGTATTCGGTCAACAGGACAGGCATGATTTTCCCACGGGTAAAAAACAAAGATACAACATGAAAACAGCACAATGAGGTGGCGGCAAGCATCGCCAACGAGCGGCAGGTTTAAGGCTCCAATCTAGTCTACTGAACGTTGGTGAAGTACGATAGCCTCATATTGCACATCCCTTCCCCGCCCCCCTCCTTGCCGCTTGTTCTCCCTTTGTTTCATCGTTGCTGCATCTACCTGTACACGACGGTTCTCTCTCCCGCCAATCCCCTGATTCACACCAAACCGACCACGCCACAACGACGCCTCGCTGCTCCAGGACCTCGAGCAACTGATGGGGTCCATCCAGTACGCGTGTAAGACCATCGCCAACTTGGTCAGCCGCGCGGGCATCTCGGACCTCACCGGACTCCAGGTAACAAGCAAAGTCTGATAGACCAAGTGTGATCACCCTCGCCTGAAGGCTGCGATAGGTTATCAGACACACGGGCGTGCGCAGATCGATCGCACGTGCACACCTTGCAGCAGTGCTGGAAACGCAGTAGAAAATGCCCGCCTTTTCTTGTTGTTTGCTTGTTTTGGCAACAGCACTCGCTTGCTACAGAGGCATTGTTACGCTTGTTTGTCCCGTGTACTTAAGAGCGTGTCGTTTTTCTCTTGGTGCGGCGCTGTTGTTGCACATGTGCTTGTGCCCATCGCAAAACTCTTTGTCCGTTTCTGATCAAACGTATTGTCTGTTGTGATTTCTTGTTTCGCGCGTGTGGTGTGTGCGACAACCTTTCCATTTGCAGGGGGACGGAGGATCGGTGAACGTCCAGGGGGAGGAGCAGAAGAAGTTGGACGTCATCTCCAACGACGTTCTCAAGAACGCCCTTCGGTCGAGCGGTGAGACACGCAAGCCGTACCGAGCGCCGTTCGATGCGCATCTCCTGAAGGGTTGATTTATCTGCGCACGTACCCGCTACGGCTTGTGCCTTTTGTTGGTAGACCCGCGCTCAGGCACCCATCAACGCCCTACATTGGTGCCGACGAGAGAGCTCGACGGCGCAAACATAGCTGCGAGGGCACGTCACCAAAACCTGCGGAACAATACCCTTGGAGGGAAAAACTGTTGGGGCTCGCAACGTGGATGCTACATGTTTTTTTCAACGAAATCGGAAAGTGTTTTTTTTTTCTATACTTGTGGGAGCGGGGCGAGGAGAAACTTTTCAAACAGGCGGGAAGAAGAGCCCTCGGGACACCTCGCGTCCACCTCTCCCGTTTTGAAAAGGGCAGCCAAGCAGCCGTCGTGCGTTCGTTTCCCCCTCATTCGCATTGGAGCATCTGGTCGTTCCCTTGTTGGCAATGTCACTGTCGTCACAACGCAGAAAGTCCCGTCCGCCTGGTTGCCACCGCCCTCCTCTGCTACAATCAACAAATCAACATGTGAAGGCAAGTGTTGCGCCGACAGTAACATCAACTCCCTTTCGCGCTGACTGCTTCCGCCTTTGTACTAGAAACACAAAAAAATGAATGCGTGAAGGCAAAGTCTTGCCAACGACGAAAACAACAGCAGCAACAGTAAGCCCCCTCACGCTGGCTGCTTGCGCCCTTCTTGCGAAAACACACAAACAAATCATGACTGCTGTATAAAGGCAAGCTCGGCGTCATCGCGTCCGAGGAGGAGGACACCCCCGTCCTCGTCGAGGAGGCGTTCAACAGCAAGTTCGTCGCCGTCTTCGACCCCCTCGACGGGTCCTCCAACATCGACGCTGCCATCAGCACCGGAACCATCTTCGGAATCTTCGAGGAGACTGAGGTGAGCCAAGGGGGGGGCACAGCAGATTGCTAGGAAGCGTGCCGAGGTATGGGTGGTTCTTGTTGGCTTGTCGAGGTGCTGGGCGGTCGATTGGTCGTCTTTTTTGCCGTGGTCGACGTTGCTGCTGCTGTTGCTGCTGTTTTCGCTGGCTTGGTTGTCTACCTAGCGGTGCCCGCGCTTAACGGCTAACATACGGAAATAAATACACCTGTATGCGCGGGGCCAAATTCGCTAGAACGCCGTATTCTCCACGTCTTGCCGTCCCCGTGGGGTGCAGTGTTGTGTATTGATGTTGCCCTTATTTTTTTCGTTGTGGTGACATCCATCGTGCGCGTGCATTGAGAAGTAACGACAATTGACATGGTCGAACCCGACCCTCCGCAACCTCCCCTTGTGCTTTTTGATGGTATCGTCATGGTCTATGTTGTTGTTTTTCAACTGGTGTGGTTTCCTCTGTGGAATTTGGTGTTGATGTTTGCGTGCGGCTATTGTCGTGGTGATGTTGTTGCCACACCAGGAGTGCATCGTCGACGACGACGCGGACATGGACGAGGCGTCGCAGGTGTGCCTGCTTAACACCCTCCAGCCCGGAGGCAGCTTGGTCGCGGCCGGTAAGCAACCAACCTAGGCACCAGTATCGATTTGTAGCAAGCAAGCTAGCAGGCGAGATAGAGGACAGCCCGCCTGGCTGCAATCTCGCACGCAACAGATACCGAAGAGGAAATTGGCCGTACGTTAGTGCATTGCGTGGATGTTTTTGGTCTGGAGCTGGCACAAGGGCAGCGGTTGAGTGGATTTTACGTCGCAAGACCAGGTACTAGGTGCTGCTGCTCCCGCTACCGTTGTACATACTTGTGTGCATTTGGCGTGTTCCGACTCGAGCATACCGATTCATGAGCCGAGCCGGATTGAAGTATATTTCATGGGAGGTGGGACAAAGGAAACTGACGTGGAGCGGAGCGAACGAACGGTGCGGTGGCAGACAGTACGCGTGTGTGCTACCGGTTCCTGCCTCTCGTGAGCAGACGGAAGTAATGACCACCGGGTCGACTTTTGTTCTCTCTGGTCGCTCCGCGAGGAAGACGGAGGTTTCTCGCGTGGGAAGTAGTGGCATACGTGCCCGGTGTCTCATGTGTCTTGTGTCACGTTCACCTTGTCATTTTCCTTTAGCCAGGTGGGCATTCCACGGATCCGTTGTGCGTTTGCCTTGCTGCTGGGGTGCTGGTTGACGACCATCTCAGGGAATCATCCATCTCTTGGTGCCAACTCGTTCCTTGCCGGCGCAATTTCATACAACCGGTGCAGCAAGGCCTTTTTTTTGTGAGTTTGTGTTTTTGTTCTATGCATGTTCCTGATTCCTGTTGTACGTCGTTCCCGTGGTGCAGGGTACTGCATGTACTCCTCCTCGACCATCCTGGTGTTCACCATGGGCGACGGCGTGAACGGCTTCACCCTCGACCCCCAGATCGGAGAGTTCGTCATGACCCACCCCAACATCCAGGTCCCCAAGCGAGGAAAGGTGATAACAGTTTGTTCGTTTCGCGTCCGTTTCCGACAATACTAGGACTTGCAACGCAAAGAAACATCGGTTATTGCGAAACGATCCGGGAGGGCATAACCCTAAAAACCCTGACCCCACCCTCAACTTTCCCGATTCTAAACTTCATCCGGTATGTTTCTTCCCTTGAACCTGCGTAGACTGCGGTACCGAGACCGCACCAGCATCGTCGTCTTGCAGCCTCCCTGGTGTGATCATGTGTGCGCCTTTGGAGTATGGGGAAGAAATTTGTTTTAGGAATCTATAGAAGGGTCATCCTTGTTGCTGCTATCCGGATCGGAGGGCGGTGTCGGGAGTGGTATATTAGCCCCAAGAGGCGTTGTCTTGCCAGGGGATCCAGTCTGCCTCTCTCACTCCGTCCCGCGACCCTAAGAACAGTTCCCGCTTGATTTGTGCGTGTGCGTCTTTTGTTTGTTCTTATTTTTGGTACCGCACAGTTGAGCCGTTTGCTTTCGAAGCTTGTCCTTCTAGAACAGGTCTCTGCTTGACCCTTCTTGGTCAGCACTGTCGAAACATGTGCCCACCCACCCCTCCGCTTGTCGTGTATCTGCACTCCCCCCTCTGCTGTTGATGGACGTTGCTGTGCATGCCCCCCTCCCCCCTTTGTCTTCGGCTCGTGCCCAACCCACCTCTCCTCGTGTCTCCTTCCGCACGGCTTTCTTGCTGCCGTGTTGTTCCAGATCTACTCCTTCAACGAGGCCAACAGCCCTGACTGGCCCGAGAACCTGCAGACCTACGTCACTGACCTCAAGAACGTAAGACCTATTTGGAATGATATTTTCGTCGATCCTTCCTTCTTTTGGACAAGAATGCTGTCCGCATATCATATGCTTGCCCGGATTTTTCGCCGCGAATGGATCTTGTCGAGCTGGTGGCATGGATATGCTCGCATCTTTTGTCCACCCCCCTCTGGCTGACGGCTCTATACCTGGTACGTTTTTTTGTTTTGTTAATAATCAGGGCGATGGCGAGAGCGGCGAGAAGTACTCGTCCCGCTACATCGGGTCCATGGTGGGCGACGTGCACAGGACTCTCTTGTACGGTGGCATCTTCGGCTACCCCGGGGACATCAACAACCCCAACGGTGAGGAGCTGGGTTGGGTTTGGTCTAGTTTCCCTGTTGCTTTCTTCTCCCCCCATCCCCCCCTCCCCGAAAGCATCTTGATTTCATCAACTCCATTACGATGCTGCAGCCTTCTTGGAAACAATTCGTGTTGTGCCGCCATGCTTCTCAGTGAGTTTTATTTCCAGGCGCTCAACCAGTCCGTGGCCCTAGAAGTTGTGGGCATGGATGTATTTGTTGTTTTGTATGGGGCTTGACGTTGGAGACGAGCGAACGGCAAGAGGACCCTTGTGTCGAGAATTTTCTCCTCCTCTTCCTCTACACTGCGGGTGCGGTGGATGACCCGTCTATGTGGCTCCGTGCATTGTCGTTTTGTCGGGCGCGTGAGAACTCGGTCTCCCCCCCCCCCTGGGCCCCACCATGTACTCGCATTCTTTGAAGACTCACGCCTACATGTCTTTGTCCGTCCCTCTCCGTCATGGACTCGCGCATGACCTCGACAGGCAAGCTGAGGCTTCTGTACGAGGGCGCGCCCATGGCCTTCATCTGCGAACAGGTGCGCAGTCTTCCCTGTTGGCGCCTCTCGCTCACGATCGCCTCTGCGTCGTTGATGGCGGCTCGTACACGGCAGTGTCTCTCCCGCTCTTTTTGTTTCCTAACCCTAATGTCGGGTTAGGGTTTCCTAACCCTAATGTCGGGTTAGGGTCAGGGTTACGTACACAGCAGTGTCTCTCCCACTCCTTTGGTTTCTCCTCGATTTCTCGTTTGCAACGTGGTTTAGTTAGTCCTATCCATCTGTCTCACTTGGGCTTGTTATCGTTTGTAACGTGGTTTTGTTGTCCTATCCATGTATCTCGCTTGGGTCTGTTAGCACCTACATGTATCGTCGCACGCACGTGGGCTGATGCATTGGTCGTCCGCTTGTTTGGTCGCTTTCCGTCGCGCCGCAGGCGGGGGGCATGGCAACGACCGGCACGCAGCGCGTCATGGACATCAACCCGGAGAAGGTGCACCAGCGCGTGCCCACCTACCTCGGCTCCGCAGAGGACGTGACCGAGCTCATCAACGCCCTCAAGAAGGAGAAGGCTGAATAAGTACAACAGCCTGATTTTTTCGAAAGAGATAACTCATGCTGTGTATGAACGCAGCAGCGCTCGTCGGGGAAGTTATTTTGCTCTTGATGAAATGTTAAAGATAGAAATCAAGAGAGTAGGAGCAGGCCTGTTCTTGTTTTTCGTATTTAGGCAGGCAGGCTTGCCCGCGAGCGGGAGGGAAGGGGCACGAGAAACAGCTGAGAGGCCCAACTCGTGAGTGACACGCTGTCAATATTTTTGAGTCTCGTGTGTACGGTTGTAGAGGGTACGTGTTGTAGTGATGGATTTGGTCGGTCGTGCCAACGTCAGTGGCGGGGGCTGTGGGACCGATCCGCATCGCCGGGACAAGGGGAGAGGTTTTGGAAGACGACCTACCTACCTCGTTTTTCACTCCGTCTCTTCCTCCCTCTTGCTTGTAGCTGTTGGCTGTGGTAGAATCATCGTCTAAGGATGGAGCCATGAGGCGCGTATTGGAGAAAAAAATCCCGCAGGCGACGCAGCAGCCGTAGTGCTCGTGGGACTTCTGTTGTAGTTCTTGTAGCTGACGCGCCTTCAGTGGTGTGGTCTGCTCGTATGTGGCGCTCTCTTTGGATAGATTACCTTACCCAAGAGCACTTTCCTTAGAGGTGTGCGTTATTTCTGGAGAGCATGGGGCAGGACAGTGACGGGCGTCCAGCCTGCAAGTCGGTGGAAACTCGATAACCACTGAAGTCAAGAATGCATCGAAAGCTGTGTTTTCTCTCTTCGCTTTTAAACGATGATTTCTGACTATATATCGATCGTGAGCCCCCGTTTCCTTTCTTCTCGATTCCGACAACGAAAGGAGTGCCGAAATGGCTACAAGATTTGTGGGGAGGTTTCATAATAGAGAGTTTTGCGGTGGTCAATGAATCCGCTGAGGAAGGGCTTGCGTGCGACGGGTGAAGGGGGGGAAACTTGTGTCGTTTTTATTGTCACGGGGCCCGTCTTACAGAACATGCATGAACATGCGTTCATCCAGCTCCTTTTGTTGCTGGCTCTTGAACCCTCCTAGTACCCAGTCCCTCCGCAAATACAAAATGTCGCAAAAATGTTTTGTCAGCCATTGGTCGAGGGCCTACACTCCCTCCAAAGAATCTGAGCTCCTTGCCAGAAAACGAGTGACTTGGCTTCAGTATGAAAAGGGTCACCAAAACACGTGGGGACACTCTTCATACTGAAGCCAAGTCAGAAAAAAATTCCAGTACCAGGCGATGTTCAGTTTACGACCTAGCTAGGGGATACGCGGGTTTGGGAGAGGTATACAGCAAAGAAGAGGCCGGGGAGAGGCATCCATCACAGAGCACATCACACAGCGTACCACCTCAGCCAAGCATGATAGACCAAGGGTTCTTACGTGCGGTGCACACAGCGGAGCCTAGAGTGACTACATCAGTGCGGTCAATAGGCAATTTGAGTGCTGTGTCCCAAAAATGTCCCCTTTTGGGCTTCCAGTACTAGGAGGGGGTTAAGCGCCTGAAGCACACGTGGTTACTTACCTTATCGAAAACGAGTGATATCTTCCCTCTCATCAGACAACTGCCCACATCCATTTGGGTGCCGTCCATTTGTGCATAGGTGGGTTCATACAGCGGAAGCCAGTGCGCCGAACGGTTGCTGCTTGCATGATTGGACTGAAGCATTGCCATACGCGCGAGTGAGTGACAACAGAACGTGTCAAGGCGATGTCAGCCGGTGTTTACTGGGGGATTTCCCCAGGACATTTTCCCATCCATTCTGGCTGGCTGGTCAAATATACTCACACGCGGCGGGGCTCAATCTTGATCACTGTCGCTGCCACCGTCAGATTGTTGTTCCCGCTGGTGGTCTGGGTGTAGATGTTTATTTTGCACTGCCTGTTTCGTTATTCGATTCATTCATAACCCCCAATCTCTGTCGTTGTTGTTGTTGTTGCTCTTGTTTTCACCGAAAAAGTCAACAATCGTTCCGCCGGACGTCTTTTTTTGTCGTAGAGGCAGAGGCACTACTGCGTGCAACGCTCAGCAACAAAATGTGGCCGACTGCCTACAACGTAATTTCGTCGTGATGCACACAATCAATCCAAAGCTACGCTCGTTCATAATTATCCCGCGCCCGCGCTGTTTACCGCATACTAGTATTAGTGAATGAGTGAGTGAATTCTGAGAGCACCACCGCACGCAGTCTCAAGGCGCACAGACGTGGGAGAAGTTACCTTCGGATTTTCACACACGGCGACCGCTTGATCGAGTGATTCGTACCACACGGCACACATTTAGACAATGCGAACGGCTAGCGGAGGTTCGTTGACAACATTCAACGAAAAAACAAACAGAGCCGAAAAAAACAACATTTTGATCCGCAAGACGGAACGGCACGCACGTGCAAAAAAAGAAAGAGCATCCGACGATGCAAACATGATGAATGATGAACAAGAAATCGCGGGTACATCGGGAGCCGCCGACTGCGCTGTCCGTGTTGTCTTTATCAGAATTAACACAACCAACTAACTGTTGGAGTAGCAACGTCAGAGAGAAACAACACCAGAACTGCTTGAAAGTTTTGGCTATCTGGTACAAGAAGTATTGTCAAGGAAATGTTGTGTATGTCTCATGTTCACCCTCTGCTCTGTCAATTACTTGAGTATGTGTACATATATATGGTGTAGTACATACAGTAGTGATACGACATGTTATCGCGAATACAACAACGATAACAGCATGGATGGAATCCGATGCCCGGGTGGGGACAAAAGGGTTCACTTCCTGCCGGGCACTGAACCATGGGGCAGTTACTGTTTTGCAGGAAGTCACACTCGATGCGCTCGATGGACTGGACTGCATGTTTCCAAGACGATAGCCAAGAGTAGCAGTCTACGTCCACAGCGCGATATCCGACTCTGATGCATGGACACAGTCATCGTGGCTTCATCGCACGACGTTGGATTTGCGAAGACGAATGATGACCAAGAGGTGGCACTTTCACTATTCATTGCAACATGCATTCATTCACCCTAGGGCAGCCGGTGGGGGAATGAACGAATGAATGTGGACCCGTGATCTACCTCAAATACCGCAAGTGTTTGAGCGAGGCGACCGAGAGAATCAACTAACAACAAAGGAGCTGTATCATGAGTCCAAAAAGTGAGGGCCGATGCGCTCGACTCATTGCACTTTTTCCTACAACTTTCAATATGTTACAGCTGCTGAAACCACCTTGTACTGCGTGATGAGTGTGCTGGGGGTCTTTCCCCCCTCACTCCTTCTGCATCGACAAGCGACGCCCGGCAGCTGATAACCGATGAAAGTACGGCACGCCCCCGCCTCTCCCGTGAGTACGTGCTGTAATGCGCCAACGGTGTGATCCAAACTCACAGTTTTCATCGCCGTCCGTCTGAGCGCCGCCAAGGGCTACTCTTGACGCTCCCCTCACATTGACTTTTCACCTGCCGATCCCCACATGATTTCGGATTGGATGAAATACAAATACCCACCTGTCATATCTCTCTTTCCAGTGGAATATTTTGGTACCCCTCCATGTGGCTGACCTTTGACAAACTGAAATATTCAGGGATTGTACCTTAGACGTGTAGCATAGAACATGTCAACGAAACCCCGGTGTTTCAATAGTGGCTACGTGGCGCCTCGGTTGGAAACGAACCTCGTATGCCCTCTGGCGTCATTGCTGTAGGTCGGGTCCGAATCCCTCCGGAGCGACAAGATTCGCCATTTAGAAATAAACCGCCGAACCTCTGCCATGATTTTCCGTAGAGACAACAAAAGAAGATGGGGCTATCGCATAATGTACCCCCCTTTGCGTCCAACCCTAAGGGCAGTCTACGGGCAGGAAACGTGAAGGGACCCTCCTGTGTGACTGGTGAGTCAGAAGCAAGGTGGTCTACACCTAAGAGTAGAAAATAGGCTTCTACAGTGGACTAGTTAGAACAGATGGCACCATCCTCGTTCACCGTAAATCTGTATCCATCCGTGCTTGTTGTTGTTGTTGCTGTTGTTGTTGTTGTTGTTTTCGGATTTGTATCCGCCGATTGCAATGAAAGCTATCTATCCCAAAACACACTTCTACAGGGGGCGGAAGCGTCCGCGAAGCCCCAGCGCGCGAGGGAAGTAGAATCAGAAAGTACGGCCATCTCGGGACCGAAGAGAAAGAGAGTCGGGGAAACAGCGGTGGGAGGGAAGAAACGCGACCGGGCACTACACACTGTAGAAGCGAGTAGGGCGGCCGAAGCAGCACCTGTGGCGAACTATGTATCCGGCTGAGGTTGATGCGCCATGTTCCCCTCCCTGCTGTACGCTACACTCCCGTTGTATGTCCTTTGTATTGCCTTTATCTCTGTGCTGTGCTTCTTTTTTCCTGCCCTCCCTGCCTATTGTACCTTGTTGGGTACCTTGATCTCCCTTTGGCTGTTGCTTTTGCTTCTATTTTTCTGGCTGTCTGCCCATCTGCCGCCTCGTTAACATTGTCCACGAGGGGGCGGACGGTTAATTTGCGATGGAAGTTTCGTACTGAAGTTAGACTTTGGAAAACCGAGATATGCAGGCGTTTCCTGGATTTGGAACAGGAGGTACTGCGATCCCCAGTGCGCCCTAAAGTGGTTCAATTCGCTTCCCATATAGTCTATTTCGCAACGTATTTCCATTTCGTTTCTTAGGTTTCGAAGATATTTTCCCTCAGTTCACCCAAAGTCAGCGAAGGGGACGTTTTCTATCTCTGGCTTCTTCTGAAGAAAGCCGCGAAATGCGCGGTGTATTGACATACACACAACACGTTGAAGATGTTTACACAAGACGATGCTGGGAGCGACCGCATTACGCCATATCCGTCACCGACGCGCGCGCCCCAACCCGTCCTTGACGGTCTTTTCAACGCATGTAACCTACTTGGTCCCTGCTCATATAAACACCTCTTTCTTGAACCACACTGCTTAAAGCATCGACCTGCTATTCAACCTAACCACCTTCAATTTGCGATTCGGCCCCTACGCCCCCTGAACCACACTGCTTAAAGCATCGACCTGCTATTCAACCTAACCACCTTCAATTTGCGATTCGGGCCCCGGCGCCCACTGGGGGCGTAGGGGCCCTAGTACTCTATTGACAAGGGAGAAGAATGACCACCATCGGGTTATTGTCAAACATTCCGGTAGCTCGGTCGATTTTCAACACACGTCCGGCTCATCACATGCAGTATATATATATATCAACTCGAATGGCTAGCGGAGGTTCGTTGATGATGTACTCGACACGAAAACGAACGGAAAAAACAGCCGGTAAGACAAGAGATGAGGTCCGCAAGACGTCAGTGACTGCACGTGAAAAAATAAAAAAGATTGTCCGGCGACACGAAACAAAATTTGGCGGGTGAACGGGTGAATGCGGAGCGGCGTACTTCACCCGTCAGTGTTGAATCCTTCCAAGGTTACCACGGAGAGAAACACTTCTCTTTGGGCTTCCCGTTTCTCATGTCTGCCGCACATGCCCCCATCTATCGGAGGCGCACGACCGGTGCGCACCGTCGGTAGTTTTGGGTCTGGGAACCACAGCGAATTTGCGTAAGGGTCAAATTATTTTATGCAAGAATGAAAATTGATTCCAAGTTGTGGATCCCACCTACCTGTAGCCCGTTCCTCCGATGATGTTGCCTGTTGCTCCACCCCTACACACTGCCTTGCCTCTCACTCCTCTCTTTTGCTCTCCACCGAAAGCAAGAAGATTGATAGAAGCAACCAAAACACGGATAACACCGCACCATGATGAGCACTGTCATCTCCTCTCCTCGGCGAGGCTGCCGCCCTCCGGGCCTCGTCACGGTGGCGAAGAACCTTCTTCGGCTGCTGGTCGTGCTAGTGGTGCTCATCACCTCAGCCGCCGCTGACACCCCTGCCCAAGACGGGGGGGAGCCAACGTCGGAGGACACCACCACCTACATCTACAGCTGCGACGATCTCGCGATGGACACGACACTCGTCCGCGGCTCCGTTGCCATTATGGGCGACATCATCTGCGATAAGACCAAGGTGTGTGAAAGTCGCAGCGGCAAAAAAAGTGCCATGATTTTTTTCGGTTGCCTGCATCCTCTGCGTGTGTGCATGTCTCTTTCTCCAGTCGTGCTTTTGGAGTTCGTTGCATCTTGTCGAGGTGTCGGGCTTGATTTAGCCCCTGGTGCATTGAACCGGCTCATGAACCTCGAACGTACGCTCGGAGATCTTTGGCAGACTCAAAGCCAACCGCCCGCGTTGCGATCCACGCCAGGTTCCACCGTGCATGATTTCGTCCATCAGTGATGGGGGAAGAATGTTGATCGATTGCCACATCCTTCGCTCTCTCTACCTTCTTTGCTCATCTAATGTATTGATGAGAGTACAGCAGTACAAGAAACAAACAGGCGCAATTCGGCGTACATGATTTTGTCTGGCGCTGCCATACCATGGGATCGGAAATAACGCCGCAGGCCTTGGTAGTACATGTACGCATCAGATCAGTGGTGAAATGACAGCAGCTTCATTTTTGTTCATCATGCCCTCCTGTTCTCTTGAAATTTTTGGCATTCGGAAAGCTTTCTCCCGTAGAATTGTTTCTCATAGGCGATGTATACCGCAGATCAGAAGGTGCTGCGGCTCTCCTGGATTCGGCTGCTGCTGCTGGAGATTGCTGCTGTAACATCATTATCTATGCCGTTGTGTTGGATCGTAAACTCGGTGCTTGGCAAACTGTAGCGCTCAGCGCACTCGCGGCGCGCGCCGCACCCCACAACAAAGCCACCTCCAGGAAAGGGCGGTTCCACGCACTCCGTTCTTTGCTCGCCCTCGCCTTTGCGCGACGCAACGAAGATTGTCATCTGTACGGACGGATTGTGGATTCCGACCAACGGTAACTTTCTGTGGTGTCGCAGATTGTAATGAAAAAGAGAAGGGAGGTGGTGAATGATCCACCGAGCTCCGTGAGTTGGATTGCCCCGCCGCCGCCGACATGGCTCCACTCCGCAACAAGAAGTGCAGTAGTGCAGCCGCCACCGCCACTCCCTCTCTCTCTCTCTTCCATCTGTCTCTGTCCCACTCAGAGTCCTGGCAGCCAAGCTCAATAGACACGTTCACGTGTAAAATCGAACAATGATTGTATTGCTGCGACCAACAGATCATCGAGGTGGCTCAGGGCTACGGCGACGTCCTCATCTTTGCAGACACCATCATGTGGACCAAGGGCGTCATCTTCGAAATCCCCAAGGGAACCAGGGTCGACTTCGGAGCGCCTGCTTTCGTCTTCGTCAGCAACGAGGTATGTATGGCATACGCACAGCCGGCAGCCAATTGTCCATGAGCCACATGGTTTCAGTTCTGTTTGCACTCTGTCGAGGCCGAGCCCATCATTAGCATGGTCTTCCAATACGACAGCAGCAGCAACAGCATTTTAGGGGGCGGCGCAACATTTTTTTTTTTTTCTCCACGAAAACATGTCGCAGCCAGCGAGGAACGTGTCATGCGGATTACCCCACACACTGAGTTGTTTGGCCTGACTTGCAGCGCCTTCAGAACACGGCAAAACAGCCTTCGTTGCCCAACGCAATATCCCTCGCCCCCCTCTCTCCGTTTCGGCTTATTCGCTATTGTAACTTCGTTGCCCTTGTGGGGTACATATGGGTGTTGGTGTTGGTGTTGGTGCGTTACTGCTATACTATGTAAGGACAACAAGGACGGCATCTTCCACGTGGACGGGATCCTGGGGTTCCTTGCCGAAGACCCCGGCTTCGAAGCCCCTGACGACGCCACACCGGTAAGGGTGTCTGTCTCTCGTCGGCTGTTCTTGGTATTGTAGTGGTTGCAGCGATATTTGGTGGTGGCCGTGGCGGTGGTATTGATGATTTAGCTCCTGTTGGTGCTGTTTTATTGTGTTGTTGGTATTACCTGCCGTCATCGTGGCCTACGGGATGTCCGTCCGCGTGGTTCTAGGCTTTGCAGTCGAGAAAATTTGAGACTCAACGAAAACGCACCAGATATATATTTTTCGTGATTCCTCCGCAAGATGTGACGTTCGGTCTACTGCTGTATTGCACCCATGAAACATCCCGACATCTTGACGAAGCTTTACTCGGTTCTCCACTCTTATTTTTGTCCGAAAGTTTTAACGCACCCGGTGTCATTCCCCTCTTGTCGCGTTTACCTGATATTTGGTTTTTGCCGATTTTTTCATGCCACCGCTCCCCCTCGCTTCGGCTCAAGGGTGAATTCCACCAATGCCCAAAGCTTGTTCTCCCCTCCCGCCTCCATCGAAGCATTGATGCTAGTCCCCGGTGTTGGCTCCCATGACTCCCTGTCCCGATCCAGTCTTGCGTAAAAGTGCAAGAACTCGACGTTACGTCTATCGTATGCATACAACACCAAACAAATGCTTGGCCAAATTTCAAGTATAATGTCCACCATCACACGCGGCTTTATTTAGCACCCGGAACTGGTCGTTATAGCCCCTTTACGGTCCGACCATCGCATGCTCTTGTTCCTGCTTGTTTTAACCAAATTTGTGTGTTGCCTCTCGAGAACACGGTTGTGACAGTACTGCAGGCGGAACAGGCCAGCGCCTTCCCCTTCCTGATCAATGGCCCCTCGCTCTTCCCCTGTTTGCGTCAAACGGTTTCCGCTGGTCGTTGCGATACACAAACGAACCTCTCTCAACAAACAGGAGGACCTGCACCGGATGGTCCGCCTTGCCCCCGATGGCACCGTACGGGCTCTCGGTGATGAGGCCATGTACTTCACCGACTCCGCGGTGTTCGTAGTCGCAGAGCCCAGTACCGACAAGAACGACAACAGCAACAGCAACAGCGAGGCAACCGGTGGCTCTCAGGGACACTCTGCAGGCCTCGCTCAAGAGCAGCAGCGGCGGGAGTTGGAAGCGAGCGGCATGGACTTCGTGACGTACCTGAACTCTTGCGACGACCTCCCGAATGAGCGAACCCCTTTCGAAGGGGTCGTGTCCGTTACGGCAGACATTGTGTGCCCCGAGCCCAAGGTGCGCGAGTGTGTCTGGTTCGGGCATGCCAGGCTCTGTTGTGTTGCAGCAGGCCGTGCATGTCACTGCATGAGGCCTGTTGGGTTGTGGCAACATCAAAACACTTTGGCTGTAGCCTCTTGTCCCTGAATCGGGCAGTCGACCCAAAGGTACATATTGACGGTTACAATCGACAGGTGACGTTTGTGTGTTCGTGTGCTTTACTTCAAGTGATTGGGTGTTCGGTGCTTGACAACTACGAGTGTCGCATCTCGGCCGATTATGTATCTCCCCCACTTTTTCGCCGTGTACTATAGTACTGTTGCCGAAAGTAAGGTAGCCCATCCCGTAGAAAGGCCGATAGGCAGGCAAACCGCCAACAACGTGCTTTTCGACCAACCGGTCCTGATAAAGATGAATGCACGAACACAGCGCACAGCCGATGAGCACCAGAGTATGTAAACCAAGAAAATACTCGTAGGCAGTACATACGGCGGAGGAGCACCATTAACCTCTATCGCCAACCATGGATCATTGTCGGAGCAGGTGATCGAGATCGCCGAGGGAAGCAACAATGTCCTGTTCGTCGCCGTCGACACCCTGTACACCAGGAACGTCCGCTTCAACGTGCGGAAGGGCGAAACGATGCACATCCGGGCCCCGGCTCTCACTTTCGAGAGGGAACAGGTATTGTAGCTGTTGAGCGCTGTTTTCGTCTGGCATATCTCTCTATGCTTCTCCAGCGGGTGTGGCACCTATTATTTTGAGGTCAGATGTCACCGCTGACGTCCGTTCCTGTTTTTTTTTCTGTGCTCGCGAGACCCTCCTGCCCTTTCTCTTCCTAACTTTGTCGATGTCGAGGTGAGACGATTACCTCGCCCCCAGGACTTTTTCTTGCTATGTACACACGTCTCGTCAAATTGTCATATTTTCCCAAGGACATTGTACTGTTTTGTCATATTTTTGGACCGGAGATGTATTACCTACTTCCCGTCACTCGCGAAGTCCATCCATTTCGCAAAGATCTTTCTTGCTTGCCCTGATCTCCTCCGTCTCCCCGCATTCCTCCCCCTCTTTTCCCTTGCGGTATCTATTTTTTCCAACGCCCCTGCTTTCCTCTTGTCCAACATCTGCTGTGACTATCGCTGGGTAATTTGTCCAGGGGGATTCGGTTGAGATCTTCAACTTGCACGGCGAGTTGCACCTCCGCGGCGACCAGCACCGCTTCGACGATCTGGTCGACACGAGGACGGTGAGCTCTTGTTGGCTGTCCTTGTTGTTGTTGTCGTTGTCGGTGGTGCTTTGTTAGCGACCCCATTGCTCCATGTCTCATGGTCAGGACTGACTTGGTCTACCTAGTGTCTCTATCTGAACACCTGCCTCCACGATGTTTTTGGCCGACCTAACGTGTGCCGCCGGCAGTGCTGTGCTGCTTGTTCAGTTCTTTTCAACCGGAAACGCACCTGATCTGCCAGGAGCTGCCGTGCCTTGCACTTATTTGGACCTGACAAGGCTCAAGCACCAACACGGTTGCGACTCAAGGGTTTACGTTCCCACCGCTCCAACACCAACCCAAGCAGCTTCACACATACATACACCTTAGCACCGTTTTCCCCTCACGCGTAGGATAGTCATGTTCAGTTCAGCTCCCTCCATCTCACGTTCCGCAACCTATCCCTCACACAGACACACTGAAGCTTGTCCTCTGGCTGTGATCGCCCCAAAGCCTAACCTCCCCTTCGCACCCCTTCTGCCGTCGTGTGCCCGCGTGCTGTTGGCCATGTTGCAATGTTTACTCCACAACCCTAGGACGACCCACACGATACGATCCACGGTTCCCCCGATGGCGATATCATCACCTACGGCGGTTCGATGCTACGCTTCAGCGAGACCTCCGTCATCGTTGATGCTGCACCCACCGACACCGACACCAACACCTACGACAAAACCTACGACAACACCTACGACAACAACAACAACGACAACGACAACTTCCTCGAGCAGGGGGACTCCGCGGAATTCTTTACGGTCGAACCGCAAGGGCACCTGGGGCTGTACGCCGACAGAAGTGGTCCCTTGCTCGACGATGGAATGGCGGTGAGGAACAACGTTGTTGTCTGGTCGGTGGTGTTGTTGCTGTTTTTGCGAATTTTGTTGTTGTTGTTGTGTGTGTGTGTGTGTGTGTGTTTTAGCATCGACCGTGCCAACCCGTTGACCAATGAAAATACATCGGTGTCAGCGAGTGGAGTTCAAGAATGTCCGCCTTCCAGAATACCACAGTTTGTATTTATCTCTCTACAAACCTTTTGCGGGGTAAACAACCCCAAAGCTTGACGCGAGTCCAGAGCGTGTGTACGTCTTGCATCGCCCCCGTCGTCGCCCCGGAGAAGGAATGCTTTCGGGGGGGTCAACAGCAGTCGCAGCAGCAATACATCGGCAAACACTGCCCCCATCTCAATGATGCCTCTTCGAGCCGTGCCTTGCTTGTTGCGCGGTGGTATCCGGTGCACGGGAATGCCGCGGTTTCGACGCAGATGCGGTCGGCAAGCTCGTTTCACTACAGTAGCTGGTTTTGCACTTAAAACTATTGGAGAAACTGGGTGGCAATTACCAACCCCTTGTTCTACTCTCCCCATCGCTTCTTGTCTGTCTGTCTGTCTGTCTAATTCATTTCCTCTCCATGCCATGTCTCCCTGTATCGTCGCGAAGGAGGACAAGCACTCCAGGGAACTGGTGAAGGAGGGAGGAGCGTTAGACGTCGATGGCCAGATCCGCCATACGGCCTCGGGCATGAGAGCCGTCCTTGCGTTCGATGTCCAGCAGCCGGAGAAGAAGCACACAGTCCCCATCCGTCAGCTAGTTGAGACCGTCGAGCAGCCGAAAGAGCAGGACACAGTCCCCATCAGTCAGCTCGTTGAGACCGTCGAGCAGCCGGACGACCAGCGGAGAGCTTCCATCCCTCAGCTCGATGAGACCGTCGAGCAGTCGGAGGAGCAGCACACAGTCTCCATCCCTCAGCTCTTTGAGAACAGCGACAACGACAACCCCCCCACCTCTCCCGCCATCCGCCCCTTACCTACCCCAGGGGACGAACACAGCACCGCTGCCAATGCCGGCACCGGTGGTTCCTCCAACGGTACCCCGAAAACCACCGCTACTTCCACCGCAACCGAGAGTGACCGCCTAACCTCAGGGCTTGCCGTCGTCCATGACGTCCTCCCGCTGTATACCCTGGAGTCCTGCAACGAGCTCCGGTTCGAGCGAACGCCCGTCCAAGGCGTGTCCGGCGTGCTTCTCCTCGACGATGATATCAAATGCACCGAGAAACGGGTGAGCGAGCTGTTAGCTTTATCATCGCTGTCGCAGTATCATTGTCAATGACAATGATGGGCTAGCCCGGTTTCGTCTCTTGTCTCTGTTGCTGCCTCTCGATAATGTATCTTTGCCTCTCTCTCTGTATCTCGTGGGAACTTTTGGTGGCAGCGAAGAATAGCGCTGGAGCGTACGTTGATGTACGTTCCACATTGCCCGGTACTAGCCCGAGGTTTGCCACTGGTGGCTGCCGTAGAGCACGCCCCCCACCCCAATCGGACAAGAGTTTTTGTTGTCCTGCACGGAATGGGAAAAGTATCCGTTACCACTCTTACACGAATGAGACAGGACCACGTTGGCATGAGCGTATCATTTCTACGATCGTCATTATCCTTGTTCGTTCTCGTCGCCAGCATCAGATGGTGCACCAGAGAAGCAGCAAGAGCACCGTCATCGACGAGAAAGACCTTGAACCATATTTTTTAACAGCTTTCGTTCCTTGTTCAATCTGTGTCGCGGGTGCCCTGTTTCCTCGCCTTGCACCCTCTCCCTTCCGACGTCCACGAATATCGCAGATCCTCGAGGTCGGCCACGACTTGATCATCGTTTCCGATAAGCCCGATCTCCGCTTCAAGGGCGTGCACTTCGTCGTTCAGGAGAAGGTCTCGTTGACCTTCATGGTGGCCACGATAGTCTTGGAGAAGATCGAGGTACGCACTTATGCGAGTAAACCCATCTTGCGCTTGCGGGGATGATGATGCTGGAAACTGAGCATTGGGGGGGGTGTAGGGGGGCATTGCGGGGGATGTACCGCACAATTTTTGTGTTTGAACATAACCAGGACGTTAGGATGTATGGTTGGGTGAAACCGTGTCTGAACACTGCACCCAGGGGGGGCGGGGCGCCCCCTCCCCAATCTTCTCGTTCCCCTGATTGAGCGATGGTT